GGAACCTTTGAGCTGAGCCATGTTAGTGGTCCCACCCCATCATATCTGCTGATAGCAGTAGTTTTACTGTTCATACTGCTAAACCTCTAACTGGCTGATTGGGACCTTTGATATATAGCACAACTGTGATACAAATGAATTTTTAATAAATAGATGAAGTCAAAACAAGTAAAGAAACGCTGCCATAAACAAAGAGAGAATCTGAGGTCAGAGGAATCTGTATCAGCTAAAAATTACTCTAGACCAAGAGAATGTCAGACCCAAATATAGACCTCAGAGGCTGGAGGCTAAAATTCCAAAAAAATGTGATGACAAACTAGCTGGATGAGCCCCCTGCACAAAACCCAGATCCTCTGAGACCTGCCATGTACTTGATAAAGGCACTTGAAACGTTACACCCACCAGCCTGAGAACAAAAGCAAAGAAACATATTGCTGAGACCGTGAGCCCATGCCCAACCTTTAACACCATCAAAAGAGACATTATACACCGCATGATATGGTCTGATAAGTAGTTAGTGCATCTAACCACCTATTCTTGTCAAAATAAATTGAATCTGAACCCAATAAAGCTTCTACATCTAACTATCGGTTTACTGATAAATGGCACTACACGAAAGCAATCAGCCAAATCCAGAATATGGGAAAGTCTTGGCCAATGGCCTAGTTTGTCCAGTAAATCAATGACATGGCGGGGGGTGGGGGGGAGGGACGGAGGAGGCGGGGAGTGTGGACAATAATATAATAATAATAATAAGCCTTGGGAAATAGAGCAATTAAATGTAATGTATGGACATTATTTAGATCCCGATTCAAATAACCCATAAAAAGGCACCTGTTAGATGATATTGTTACTGTTAACTCAGTTATGTGGAAGGGAATGGGAGTTTTTTTATGTTTCTGTCAGTTTGCCAGGGAATTGACATATCTGATATTTGCTTCAAAATACTGCAGGAAAAAAATGTGGACTGGGAGACTGTAGAAGAAACAAGATTGACAAAGTGTTAATTATTGAAACTAGAGTTCACTACACTATTTTCTTTATTTTATATATTAATGAAATTTACATAATAAAAAGTATTTTATGTATGTATTTATTTTTTAATTTCTTTATTGAGTTTAGAGAGAGAAAGGGAGAGAGAAACATCAATGTGAGAGTGAAACATTGATTTGTTGCTTCCTGCATCCATCCTGATCAGAGATTGAACCCATAACCTGGGTATGTGCCCTGACCAGGAATCGAACCCACAACCCTTCAGTGCCTAGGGCAATGTTCCAACCAACTGAGCCACAATGGTCACGGCCATAATAAAAAAATTTTTAAAGAAGCAATGAATGGAAAGCAAAGAAATTGGTAAATGTAATAATTAAATGTAAAAGGAATCACTAAATCTCATGTACAGAAAATTCCTAAATAATTTATGTAGCTCCTCTGCCCTCAAGGAGGTGGGACATAACTCCCCACCCCTTAAGTGTACAGTGCTAAGAGGGACTTCCTTCTTAGAAATACAGAATGGAGAAGGAGGAAAGAAGAGTAACGTTGCAAGGGAAAATTAGGTATGAGGTTTGCAGAAACTCTGTGATATGGTGGCAACTTTCCTATAAAACTAAAACTTCTAAAGCAAAAATTTTACTAAAAATATTAATAATTTCTGAAGAAGTAAAAAACACAAACAAAGTTATAAAGTAATAGCAATACTGACTTAAATCAAAACCACTGGGGTGGGTATCAGGCATAATTTTTTTTAGATGAAAAGACACTTTATTATCATTTTACTATATAATATATTAGTGAATAAACCTGAGTGCAGGCAGAGTTATTTTTTTAAATATATTTTTACTGATTTCAGAGAGGAAAGGAGAAGGAGAGTGAAAGAGAAACATCAATGATGAGAGAGAATCATTGATTGGCTGCCTCCTGCATGCCCCCTACTGGGGATCGAGCCCACAGCCTGGGAATGTGCCCTTTGCTGGAATCAAACCCGGGACCACTCAGTCTGCAGGCCCACCCTCTATCCCCTGAGCCAAAGTGGCTAGGGCTGCAGAGTGATTTTTTTTAAAGTGCCCACGAAAGAGAGGCAGAGACAGAGAGAGACGGAAGGACTCAGAGAAGGAGATACAGGTGTAGAGGTTATGGACTACATCGTATCACCCGAAACTGAAGCTCTGACCCTCAGTGTGACTGTATTTGAGATAGGGCTTGTAGGGAGGCAGTTAAGGTTAAATGAGGTCATAAGCTAACCATTTTGCTCAAGAAGTTAGAAAAAGAACAGTGAGCATTTAAAAAGTGGAAGAAGGAAATAAAAGTAAGAACAAAATTAGCTGTAATGGCCAACAAAGGCACACTGTGGAGAGAGGACGGTTCATAAAATGACAACAGAATTGTGGCTGACAGACAAGAAAACTATGAAAAGAATGCAGAAACCAATCAGGCAGTGAAGAAAAAGATAAATTGAAGCCAGCCAAGTGGAGAAGGAAATTAGACATATTCCAGCTAAGGGTGCAGAATTTCATTTCCCCAAATCAGGTGATAAAAGATGGAAAGAGATTACAATAGAAACTGGTGCCCAGGGAACACGTGAGGCACTTGCTTATAAATCTCGCCGCCCCCCCCCCCAAAAGGATTGGGTTGGGCGAGCCGTGGCTGCCCAGCCCCTGGCATAGACAGGGCCCAATTCTAGGAAAAGGCTTAGCATGTGACTCAGGTAGAATTGGCCTAGAACAGAAGTTCTGAGGATCCCAGAGAGCTTTTATTTTCGTGGGTTGTAGCTCTCAATAATGAATGCAATAAAAATTAAAACTAAAATTTAAAAAATACTGTAGTTATTTAAAAATAACAAGAATAAATCCAATACATTGTTTACCAAAAAAATGAGAACAATCCAAATATCCACAAATACCGAAAAGCCCAGTGCACTTGGTTTATTTATACAATAGAATAGGATGCAGCTTATTTTTTACTGAATCTATAGATAACGACATGTTTTTTTTGGTTTGGTTTTGTTGTAATATATTTTTATTGGATTTCAGAGAGGAAGGAAGAGGGAGAGAGAGATAGAAACATCAATGATGAGAGAGAATTATTGATTGGCTGCCTCCTGCACACCCCCCACTGGGGATCCAGCCCGAAGCACAACCCGGGCATGTGCCCTTGACAGGAATCGAACCTGGGACCCTTCAGTCCGCAGGTTGATGCTCTATCCACCGAGCCAAACCAGCTAGGGCAGATAACTACATGTTAACAACAAATCTGAGGGGGAAAGAACCCCTGTGAATGAAAAAGGCAAGTGGCAAAAGGATAGAAAATAAAATACCATTCATGTCCTTTTTTAAGGCAGAAGATACTTATTGGTAAAGTGGGTCTTTGATGCGAGGCTAAATTTGGGCCTATTTCAGTAGGCAGCTCATTGAATGAGTCGTCAAAAGATTTTGAGCAGGAACCCCACACCTCTGCTATGAAGATCAGTCTAGCGGTCCTTACCCTGGGTCCACACACACAAGGCAGGGGGCTTGTATCCTTGCATGGGGAAAAATTTACCTTTATTTTCAGGAAATGGAACATTTCCCTTATGAATGGAGTCAACAAAGCTCAATGGTATTGGCAGGAGCTGTGACTGTCACCAATAGTAATCACAGATATTTCATATCACCTTACAGTTATGGTAAATATTTTAAAATATCCCTACACTCATAGCATACGATCTGCTGCTGGATCTCATCACTTAATGGCTTAATAAAGACGCACATATATATTACACCACAGATTTGATTTTTAAAACATTTTAAAAATGCACACACATACACACACACAGACACACACACACACACACACACACACACACACACACACTCTAGCTTGGAACCCTCTGAGCTCAGCTCCAGGCCTGGCTCTAGCAGAGGGCAGGCAGCCCGGGATATAGCAGAGGCTGCGGCTCTTTCCTCCAGACAATCAGGAGCCACAGGAGGGGCCTCTTGCTGGGATCATTGCAAGGAGCCCTGGGGTCACTCAGGGGTCAGGAGGCTGCCTGCTGCTGCCTGAACCACAGACTCCTGGGGACTGGAGTCTCTGCAGCCCCCATGCTGCACTTCTGTCATTTCCCCTTTGGCCTCTCCCAGGCAGTGCTTGTCTTAATTGTTGGCCTAATGACACCCATATAAAATGGGGGAGGGGAGAGCATTGCTCAGTGACCAGTGAGAAGGTCCCTGGGCACGGCCAGGGCAGATCTGCTAAGGTACGGGGTGGGCAAAAGTAGGTTGACACTTGTGGGTACGTGAAACAGTTTATTCTTGTCTTATTTATTCATTAATTGCTTATTTGTATTATTTGTCTTCTTCTTATTATTCCATATCCTTACTTATGATTCGTGTTTTTAGGTAACAATGGCTGGTAATTTAAAGTACTTTTGCCCACCCCTGTATTTGAGAAATATGTCTCTGCATTAATTGGTGTTTTCGGTCCAGGTGACCTAGAAACCTGTCTGCCTCCTCTCCGCCTCCCCAACTTCGCAGGTGCTGGCTGGCCTGCATCCACGGCAGGTTGGAGCACAGGGCCCACCTGTGCGCGCCCACGGAGTGTCCCATCTCTGCTCTGCCCCCTCACTTAGGCTTGGGGGGGAGGTGGAGGAAACCAAAAGAGAAATAGAAAGGTTCTTGGCCTTGACAGAGGGAAGGGGGAGGCAGGCAGTGGCACCTCCTCCCTTTCCCAGTGTAGGCCCCGGTGCGATCAGAGTACTCCCCCCACCTCCACCCACTCCCCCCACTCCCCCCCATTCCCACCCCCTTCCCCCTCCCCCCTCCCCCCTCCCCCTCTCCCCTCCCCCCTCCCTCCCCCCTCCCCCACCCCACACCCCCGAGGCCTCGCCAGCCCCACTCCTTTCCACTTGGGTCCTGGTGATGGAGTGCGCTGCAAGACCAAGGTGAAGAGGCGCCCAGCCTGGACCCGGCCGAGGGGGCGGCCCCCGCGCGGCTGCCCCGCCCCGGCCCGCCCCGCCCCCGGCGCCTCCGCAGAAGCCTGCCCGCTGGCCGCCCGCTGCCACTGCGGCAGCCCCGGCGCCTCCTCGGTCGCCCCGCACAGGTGAGGACGGGGAGCCCCGCGTCTGACCCGTGGAGGGAGGAGCGGGAAGCTTCGTCAGGCTGAGAGCCGGGAGGGAAGGAGCGTAATCGGATTCCGCAGAGGCCGGAAGGGGGGACCGAGGGACCCGAACTCCAAATCCTGGGCGGGCGGCTGGGAGGGGGTCCCCGCCAAGCCCCGAAAGGCGGGCTCGCCTTCACCGAGCCGAGCGCCCCTGCGGGTCCGGAGATGCGCTGGGCGCTCAGGTGCCTGTGACCGCGTGGGGCTTGGGGCCTCCCGGATCCTGGGGCGCTGGCTCCGGGGGCCCCACATCCTCTCGCAGCTGTTCCCAGCCCGGAGCTAAGGATACGCCTCTGGGTCTTGGAAGGAGGACCCCAGGCTCGCGGGCCGCGACCACACAGAAACCCGCTTGCGGCGCGCTTTGGAGAGACTTGTGCGGCCCGGGGGCTGCGGACAGGTGGCGGATTCTGCAGGAAAAGACAGGCTCCGTTCTGATTGTTTTCAATGTGAAAACCCAGCAAGCCCGTTGTAACCCTTTCCCTTGCATCTGGGGAGGTGACGCTGGAATTTAAGCCCCGGCTTTGGGTCTATCTCTGAAGTTCTAGGTTCACCCCCCCCCGCCCCCGCCCCCGCCACCTCTACCCTCACCCCCGCCGTGAGGTTTGGACTGGGAGGAAGTGGGTCTGTGCTTTAACCGGTGCGAGGGTTTTGAACTTGAGCCAGGCGCCCTGGAAACATGACCGTCTGTGTTCTCGCCTGCAGCTGGGAGGAAAGATGTTCACGGTGCTGACCCGCCAGCCTTGCGAGCACGCAGGTTAGTACGGCAGCGGGCGGCCTGCGGGGTTCCCCGCATCGCAGGAGAACCGCGCCCGCCCGGGTTCCTCATCCCCCGCCCGGCCCGGCACATGGCTGTGCATCCTCTTGAGCTTGATGCCAGCGTTGCTCACCGGCTCTCACCACAGGCATTCCTCGCAGAAAAGTAATGCTTTTCATCCAAGCGACACCAAACAAGGGCTAACATGCATGTTTCGATTAAATGGTTTTTCCGGTTTGCATAATCCATTCATTTGGCCCTTGTGGTTTCCCTTACCCAACGGTGTGTGAGGTTTGCTATAGAATAATGTGGATTTTGTGCCGAACTTCAAAGTGCTTGGAGCTTTGCTCTATTCCCATTCAAGCGTTGTTGCTGGCACAGCGCCTACAGCATCCTCCAGCCCCCAGCATGGTCAGCATTGTTCCTGCTGATGTTCCCGCAGGCACATGGGCAGAATTCTCTCTCTCTCTCTCTCTCTCTCTCACACACACACACACAAACGTGCACACAAACTTCCATGTTTGCCCCACCTGCCTGCCCTGGAGCACTCTTTGCGGTTGCTCATATGAAAGTTCGGGAGCCTCTGGCCTGTCCTCTCCCAGGTCGGCACTTGGTAATTACAGTGTGTGTCCGGCCCTAATGATAGCACAGCCGTGGGCCCTGTTCCCTAAATGAATGAGACCTGGTCTAGTCCATTTTGCTTCGTGATAGACTTTTCTGCTGGGGCAAGTGTTTGCTTAAGGTAATCATAGCCTTTTACCCCAAATCTGCTGAAGCGCGGAGGACTGGGGAGGCTAGCGTGTGGCTGTGGTCAGGAGACTGCTTACCCACCACCCGCCTTCCTCCTGTGGCCAGATGTTGTGCCCCTACATTGGGTATTCTTGTCTTCCAAAAGGATACGATTGTCGGCTAGTGGGGGGAATTTATACCAATTTTTTTCTTTTTCTTTAAAGGGAAATTGTATTTAAGGAGCTGATTTACTTTGATCTCCAGGTTTAACACAGATCCAGTAACATCACACGTACAGACTAACTTGTTACATTCCTCCCAAAGGACAAGTTTAACCTGGCAGATTAAACCTCCACTATGTCTTGTTAGGGGGGGAAATCCCTTCAACTGACACTGACAGGTGGTTTCTTTAAAAGTTGATACAAGACTTTGTCTCTGTGGATAAACTGGTTCCTGGTGGTCTCCAGCATCAGAAAAGTGATCTAGGACCTGAAGGTCACCCATGGTGGTTGGCCCCCTTCGGTTGCTACTACAAAGGAGTCAGCTTAGAGTAACTGCGTGTCGTTTTATACACGTGGGGCTCCTTCTGTGGAATACATTCCCAGGAGTGGGATTGCAAGTCAGATGGTAGGCCTATTTGCAATTATCGTCAGTAAATACCGACACATTGCCTTCCATTGATGCTGTGTCAGTTTTCACTCCCAGTTACAAGGTAGAAGAATGAGGCTGTTTGTTAAGTAACCACTTTTGACATTAGGAAACGTCTGCGGCAGTGTCTACACAGCAGGGGATCAGATGGGGCAGCAATAAACTTTCATGAACCCACACTGGTTTGTTAAGACCTAATCTTGTAATCATTCAGTTAAGCAATATTAGTTTAAATTTAATAGACATAGTTCATTATGATACATTATGTATTATTATACAACTAGAGACCTGGTGCACAAAATTTGAGCACAGGGGGTCCCTCAGCCTGGCCTGCACCCTCTCGCAATCCGGGACTGCTGGCTCCTAACCACTTGCCTGCCTGCCTGCCTGCCTGCCTGATTGCCCCTAACTGCCTCTGCCTGCCTGCCTGACTGCCCCTAACTGCCTCTGCCTGCCTGATTGCCCGTAACCACCTCTGCCTCGGCCCCTGCCATGGCAGCTTTGTCCAAAAGGATGTCTGGAATGACGTCTGGAAGGTCGTTTGGCTGTCTGGTCTAATTGGCATATTATTAATTTATTATTATAGATATGTATATACATCATATATTATACCATACATGCAATTATATAATGATCTTTACTTAGTGTCTATATATTTAATTTAAGAGTATTCATGTGCTTATTTATTCATTTTTTTTTGCTTTTAAATGGGTAGATAGAGTTTACATGTTATGATTAAAATACAAATCCCAGCGATTACATGATCCCTTTTGGACGAGACATGTGGATTGGGGTCTAGTTCGTCTTTGTTGGTGAAGATGTAGGGAGACCTAGTGCCTTCACTGTAGACACAGCAAGCATAACTGAGTGTGAGTTCTTATTGGGAACCCAAATGCTGTAGAAATTTAGACATGTTATCATTTGCTCCACAATAAGTCACCATGTAGTAAATCATTAATTATATCTGAAGTACCATATTAATTTCTTCTTATTTATCTGAGATTAATTTTAAATGAAATATTACCTGCTTTAATGGAAAACCCATATTTTTCTAATCTGCACTGAAACAAATGTTATTGTAAATCTTCTCAGGGACAACCAGTAATATGCATAACATACTTTGAGAAATACCAGAAAACTAAACTATGCATACCGAAAACTAATATAATACTGTATACAACATATGGATATATGTATATGTGTAATGTAAAATGTATAAATATAACATATGTATAAATATATTAGAAACTAATACATATATAACTAATATGATACTACAGAAAACTAAATACCAGAAAACTAAAGCCATGCAAACACGGTTTAAGTCCACTCTTTGGAGGAAAGATAAGTGGGTATTAGAACCCAGCTGCTTCTCCACCTTAAGCGTGTGGGTCTCACTAAAGCCAGAAGTGACTGGTGCCCACGGCTATGCACCCAGTTCCTGGGTTCTGCAAAGAAGACTCGTGTCTTGTTCCTGCGTTTCCCCTCGTAAGTCTTCTGGGTCTTCCCGTTTCAGGCTTCAAGGCCCTGTCCCGCACGCCAGTCGTCATCGCCTTGGTGGTCTTGATTTTGAGCGTGGTGGTCCTTGTGGCCATCACACTCATCCAGATTCACCAGAAAGAGGTCCTCCTTCCCGGACTGAAGGTAAGCGTGAAGGGATCAGCACGGAATGGGAGCAATGGGCTATGACATCACTTACTCTAACGCCATGAGTTAGAAAAAGAGCATTCTCCCTGCCTCCGGCTGGAGCCTGGGAAGACAGTGTGAGACCCAAGGGAGAAGGGCCGGACATGCTGGGTTTGTGATGTTCGAGGCTCCAGTTTGATTGTGGTGACACCTTTCCCAAGGACCGTGTGGTTCTTGCTTTGACCCCTGACTATTGGAAGCAAAGCTAGACTTTGTGGCCAATAATAAATGGCTACCAAAGATTTACCAACTTGTCCGTCTCCCCAGAGCACACATCTCTCCCTGATCATGAGTGGAGACCAGGAGACCCAGGCTCCTCCTCTGGCCTGGCCTGGAGAAACAAAAATTCAAGGACTTGAGAAGATCTCCAGGAACTGTATTTGGGCCTAGAAATGTGCCATGATCCCTCTAACTCTCCCCCCGGAAAAATCTCTCACGACCTTATGCTCTCTTCCAGAGACCTTTCTCAGCCCTTGATAAATAAGTCCATCCTAGATGGCCTCCTGGGTGACTTCTGGCAGGCTGAGAATCATGAATATCGCCCCAGCCTTGGCTGTAAGGATGACAGGTGGTGATCCCACAAGGGCCTGTCCCATGAAAGGCAGGCAGAGTCATTGAGCCTTTCTGCCCCGTGGGTAGAGGCCAGCAAACTTTCTGTAAAGGGCTAAATAGTATGTATTTTAGGGTTTGAGGGCCATTTATAATCTCTGTTACACATACCCTCTTTTGTTTTTGTCTTCTTAACTCTTTAAAAATGTCAAAACCACCTGGCCGGTGTGGCTCAGTGGTTGAGCGTTGACCCATGTCCCCGGTTCAATCCCTGCTCAGGGCACATGCCTGGGTTGCAGGCTCAATCCCTGTTAGGGGGCATGCCGAAGGCTGCCAATCCATGTCTCTCTCTTATCAATGTTTCTATCCCTCTCCCTTCCTCTCTCTCTAAAATCAATAAAAACATACTTAAAAAAAAACAGTTAAAAACCCTTTTTAGCTGGAGAGACATAGGGGCCAAGTTCAACTGTGTTATTTGACTTTCATTTATTGATTGATTGTTTTGAGAGAGAGAGAGAGAGAGAGAAAGAGAAAGAGAGAGAGAGAGAGAGAGACAGCAATTTGTTGTTCCACTTATTTATGCATCATTGGTTGCTTCTTGTATGTACCCGGACCAGGGATTAGACCTTGGTGTATTGTGATGATGCTCAGACCAACTGAACTACCGACCAGGGCTATTTGATCCCCTTTAGCATTTATACTTGGCCTCACAAGTCCTTCTGCATCTTCCTACTGTTAGTGACTGGCCAATGGCTATATTTGAAGTAGAAGTTTTTAAAGGTAAGAAACTACTATTGCCTTGGCTCGGGGTCTGCAGAGAGTGTAGACAGAGCATGGATGTGGGTCTGAACTGTCCCACCGCCTACAGTCAACCTACAGATGCACAAGGCTCTGTACTTCGTGGAATTGCCAGGGGTGGGAAAAGGACAGGTGGATGGGATGGGCAGGGCAAAAGCCTTCATTTGTAAAATCACCCCTCAGGCCCTTCAAAAGTGAGGCATGGGCTGGTTAAGGTGGTTGCCGGCTGCTGGCTTCCACTCATTCTGGGAGGTGAGAGGCAAGTCCTCTGTTCAGCCTGAGGGACATGAGGAGTTGGAAGACTGGAAGAGTGAACTGAAAAGTGGAGCCTGAGGCATACGGAGGGCACCATGGAAGGAGAGGGTCACCCGTGTTAAATGTTACTGTCTCGGGTGGATCCCCCTAACCTAAGATCTGAGTGCAAGCAGGTCATCTGAAGATGGCCCAGGAAGCACAGGGAGGGGATGGGGAAGTGAGACGGGAGGAAAGCAGCCACTGGAGGGCCTGGGACCCAGCAGGTTACCCCTTGGGCTCCTGGGGCTCAGTCCTGCTGGGGATGCCTGGAAGTCAGTGCAGAACCCACTGCAGGGTTGTCCTCTACAGAGGGGGAGGGGCATATGGAACACCTGCCTCCCAGCTATCCCTCTCTTGGGCGTATTTACACACCAACACCCATCACTCATCGGTTGAGAGACTGCTCCCTGGGGAACGTTAACTCTAGTATTTCTGGCACATTATGTGCCCGGGTTGGCTCAGGCCACTAGAGAGTGTCTGCAGGCAGGTGGAAAGCGCACGTTTGGCCATCACCGTGGTAAGGTCTGAGGGACCGTGGCAGGAACCTCCGTGACTGTTCCATGTAGATACAGTAATGATTACCCCCCTTTGCAGAGGAGGAAATGGAAGAACAGAAAGGGCAAATGGCGTCCCGCAGTTACACAGAGGGGACATAGCAGGACTGGTGTAGCAGGAAGGAAAGAGTAGAGCATTGGCCTCAGGCAAGGGTTTGGGAAGGTGGGAAGACACACCCTCACCCATTAGCACACAGTTCAAAGAGGGGCTTTTTTTTAGAAACAATTTTTTTAATTTGTTGATTTGAGAGACAGAGAGAGAAACATCAGTTCATTGTCCCACTTACTCATGCATTCATTGGTTGATTCTTTATGTGCCCTGACTGGGGATTGGACCCTAAACCTTGGCGTATCGGGAAGATGTTCTAACCAACGGAGCCACCCGGCCAGGGCTCAAGGAGGGGCTTTTTAATCTCTGCAGAGTCTTGCTTCAGGCCCAGGCGCAGTTGTCAGAGGCAGGAAGTTGTGTAACATTGGGATATTGGCTCAGAAGGCCCCTTCTGCCTCACCGGGCCCATTAACGTGAGAAAAGACACACGTTCTGGGCCAGCTGAGCCAGGAGGAGGACAGGCCTGGAAGAGAACGTCCACATGCAGCTTTTCTCAGGGCGCCAGCGATCTTTCCTCTCACTGTGTGTGTAGGGGGGGGGAGGGGGGGCGGGATTGGCAGGGAGAAGGGGGGTGTGGGGGGAGGGTTGACTGAATATGAGGGCTTTTTCATTGTCATGTTTATGTTGTCATACCTGGAGCCCCCTTTTCCTTTGTGTGGACCTGACAGTTGGTTAGGAGGGGCCAGCTCCACCATGGCCTGGGGGGCAGGGGCGGGGGGACGGGGGCATGGGATGCTCCTCAAGACCCTCATGAAAGGTCATGGTGTCTGGCAATTCAATCCAACCAGGGCTTTCCTAACCTTGGTTTGCCTGAGTTTAAGAGCGGAACTTGTAAAACTTAGTTAAGGGTCGAAATGTCCCCCAGTCCCCTTCTCACTGCTACTGGTCTGACCTGCTCTACCAGCTCGAAGTGTAAACATGATGACATCACTGTTCCTTTCACTCAGCCCCCGCTGGCTTTAGTATCAAGTCCAGGATCTTCCTCCCGAGCCTTCACATCCCCACCTCCCATCAGCAACTGTCCGGAAGCTGGAGTTGCTCAGCCCCGTGTGATCAATACCCCAGGCCTCGCCCTGCAGCCGCATGATGTCACTGTTGGAGAGGGAGGGGCCCGCACAGTCTCAGGGTTTCCAGGGCGCGGCTTTTCTGCTGTGACATGTTGGGCCACTCTCCCTTGCTTGGCCATTACCCTCCGAAGCACAGCCACTGAGCCCCTCTGCGTTGAAACCATTCCTTCTAACCCCCATCAAGCTGGGACCCGCAGCCTGCATCTCTGGTGCCTGTGGCCCACCTGCTCTGCCCCTTGGAGAGTAAAGGATGGATCATGGGTTTCTTCCTTCCCAGAAAGCCTGGGCTCCTTGTCCAACTTGGACCACCTCCTCTCCAGCCAGACGTGCATCCCACTTAGCCAGGAGTTTGCCTACAGGGACTTTTTGTCTGAACAGTCAGTCTGCCAGGCTGGCTCAGGGACCTATTGACTAAACAGGCACCTGCTAGACTCGGTTTCCTGGGAACCCGATGAAAGCGTGGGGACTAGGAGTACAGGTTTGAGAGTCTATGAGACCCAGGCTTGTTCCCAGCTCTGTGACCTTGGGCAGTGACCCTGTGAGCCCTGGTTTCCCCATCTGTTTAATGGGGATGATGAAAACACCTGCATGATGAACGCAGTCATATGGAAGCACTTGGTGCAGTGCCTGGCATATGATAAGTACTAAGTAAATACTTACTATTATTCTCTTATAGTAACAGCAATGATGATGACATAGTAATACGACTGCTACTACTAATAATAAAGCAGTCTGAGAAAGCTGAACTCATGACCTCTGCTTTTGCTTTTGCCAGAAGCTCACACAGTCCTTACGTTTTGGACCATGGCGTCCACGAGGAAGACTGTTCACTGTGGGTTAACTCACATTCCAGCCCTGTTTCTCTCTGAAGCTACATTAGACAGCGGATTCCTTACTGTTTCTCATCCCAGCATCACCCACCTGGCTGAACTGAATGAAATGCATTCCCTCTCCCGCCTCCCTGGAACCACATTGAGTTCCACTGATCAAAGCAAATGAGCTCTGAAAACTGGTCAAAGACCCATTTTCCCACTTTTGAAAATGTCAGTGAACCATGGTGGAGGCGGTTGGGTGATACTAGCAGTCACGCTGGGCCTCAAGGCTGACCCCTGTCCCCGCACCAGCAGGTGCCCCGGGGGCTGCCATCTCTCCAGGCTCACCAAGTGGAGTCTCTGGCTCCCCCCCCACCCCGCCCCCATGAGAACTGGATTCCAGCTGATTCCACATGAGAATGGATGTTCTTCCTTCTCTCTGACCCAGGCCCAGCGGTCCCGGGCTTCGTACACAGGGAAACGCTTGCTTTGAGAAGGGTTGGAACAGAGATTTGGGGAAAGGCAGGTACCCCCGGAGGGAGTCACTGTTCCCTTATTCTCTCTCTCCATTTCACGGGGAGCACCAGGCGTGGAAGGGCCGGTACTGGGGTGCTGATCAGCTTCACAGTGGCGGGGGGGGGGGGGGGGGAAGCAAACATAATGTGGAGCTCAGACCTCCCGAGTGCCTGCTTTCCCTCTTGCCTTCGGGTTTTGACCAGCACTTTAATCCCTCGCCGAGCCTCTGCTGGGACTCTGGGACGGGTGGTGAACAATGCCTCCCTTATTCGCCGTGGAAGGTGTCAGGTCAGGATCCTGACCAACATTTATCAGACTGAAGGGCTGTCCAAGTTCAAATACCAGTGAACACAGGATGTTCTAACTCATGTCACAGAGAAGCTGGGAGTCAGGAGCCGGAGCAGCATTTTTTATTATTTGGTCCCATTTCAAATGAAGCAAAAATTTGTGTAGTAGAAAGTTGGAAACCTCCTACATGTCTGGAATCAGTTCAATAAATTATTGTAAATCTCACAGTGGATGTGCGGAATGTACTGAAAATGGCTATATTGGCAGGGAGAAATGTTCATATCATCTTAAGTAAGAAGAAAGCATTGGAAAAGACTATGTACAATATGTTCCTGTGTTGTTTTAAAGGCACGTGTCTGGCCCTGGCCGGTGTGGCTCAGTAGGTTGGGTGTCATCCCTTGCACCAAAAGGTTGCTGGTTCGGTTCCCGGCCAGCGCACATGTCCAGGTTGCAGGCTCGATTCCCAGTAGGGGGCGTGCAAGAAGCAGCCGATGGGTGTTCTGCTTTCACATCGATGTTTCTCTTTCTCCTTTCCTCTCTCTCTAAAAATCAATAGAAATATCTTCTAAAAAAGAAAAAAAGATGAATACTTTAATTCTGAGGGCTGATTCAGGCAGTAACGTGTCTCCCTTGTGCACACATCCCCCTATAGTTTCCCTTTGGTTGTTTATTCCAGGATGACAGGCCTGCAAGTTTGGAGCGTAGAGGGCAGGAGGTGACTGACTATTCATTTCCCTCCTGAGCCCCGGTGGCTCTGTCCCCGACCTCAGAGGTCTGGATGAAGGGGACTCACGGGCCTGTCTTTGTATCCAGGGTCCTTGGAGCACTGTGCTTCAGCCTGGGCTGCATAAGGAATCAGTCACCAAGGGAGCTTTAAGGACTGCAGAGATTCTGACTGAATGGCTGTGGGGCACGGCCTTGGCGTTGGGAGTTCCCAAAGCTCCCCAAGTGATTCTAATGTGTGGCCACGGCTGAGAACCGTGCCCTAGAACATCAGCCCTACCTCCCTCTGCCCCTTCTCCCCCCACAGTCCCAGGCAACAGCACTGGTTTGGAGCAAATAGTTTTTTCTTCTCAGTCAGCCCTTCCCTGCATGAAGCAGTGTGGACTAAGCTCTTGAGAGTGTCCGGGGGCCCCTGGGGAAAGGAGTTTTCAGAGAAGCCCAGCCCATTCTGACCCCTTTCCCCCGCTGTTCTCAGTATGGAATCGTGCTCGATGCCGGGTCTTCCAGAACCACAGTCTATGTGTATCAGTGGCCAGCGGAGAAGGAGAATAATACCGGCGTGGTCAGCCAAACCAGCAAATGCAGTGTGAAAGGTAAGGCCCAGAGTGGGTCTGGGAGGCCCAAAGGGAGGCCAAGGGAGAGTCCTGTGTCCTTGAAGGCCGGGAGGGGTCCCGAGAAGCTGCCTGGACTGGGTGCCAGGAAACGATGAGATCTCATGCTATTGCTGCTACTTATCAGTAGCAGTGACCTTGCGTCAGTCACCACCCTTCTCTGGGCCACCGTTTTCTCATCTGTAAAACACAGAGGTTTGCGAAGACCTTGCATGCATATGTGCATAACCCAATAGGGTGGCGAAGGCAAGGGGTGGGAGTGGGCTGGAGGGGGTCAATTGGGGGGGGGGGAAGAGGACATATATAATACTTTCAACAATAAAGAATTTTTTAAATAAATAAATAAATAAATAAATAAGTGGAACAACAACAACAACAAAACCCACACAGGTTTGGGGGGCATGTCAAGAGCTGCGAGTGGTCTGAGACGTTACCTGCGGCTCTTTCATGGACGCTGGTGGGAGACGCAAGCTTCCTGCGTCACAAATAAAGGCATTTTGTTATTCGCAGCAATAGCAGCAGCCAGAGTATCAGCTCCTTTTCATCGGCTGGTTCTCTGAGGATGATGCAGAGAGGGCCAGACAGGATCTGCTCGCGCAGTGGGTTGGATTACAGAAGAGAAACCTGAGGTTAGGGAATCTGAAACATTTATCAAGGGCACTGAGCGTGCCTGCCTTTTGCTCTGGGTGCAGCTTTTCTCTGTCTGCTGAGCCCGTTCGCTCTGCAAACATCCTTGAAAAATAATCCAGAACAAAGGCAATCAGTGTCTGTGCTCATAAAACATGCAGGAACACGGGAGACAAGTTGTCTCCGAGCAGGTGTGTGGGGTGTGGGGAGGGGGGTGGAGGGAGATGGACAGTACAGAAACAAGCAGGCATGGCTCTGTTCCAGTAGAGCTTTATGGATGGACCCTGAACTTTCCACAAGTCACAAGATACTCTTTACTCTTCTTTTAACTCCTCTGCCCACCATTTTAAAATGTAAAAACTGCCCTGACCCGTGTGGCTCAGTTGGATGTTGTTCTGTGCACCGTGAGGTTTCTGGTTCAATTCCGGGTCAGGGCACATGCCCAGGTTGCGGGCTCAATCCCCAGTCGGAGGCAGGCGGGAGGCAGCCGATGGATGTTGTGCTCTCACATTGATGTTTCTCTCTTCTCTCTTCCTCTCTCTCTCAAAATCAATAAGCTATTCTTAAAAAAAAAAAAAAAAAAAAAAAAAAAAAAAAGTAAGTACTATTTTATCTTACAGGCTGTACAAAAAAAAAAAAAAAAGATGATGGCTTTGATTTGGCCCATGAGCTGCCACCCCTGAAACAGCACATTATTAGCATCTTTAATGACCCTCCACACAACTCCCTGCCTCCCCCAACATATCCTGAACTTTATATTAACTGTTTCCTTGTTCTGCTACATACTTTTGTCCTAATGTATTTGGTTTTTCCTGCTTTTGAAAAACGGAATCAAATACATATTTAGTTAAATAGCATCAAACATTTATTCCTCTGTAATTTGCTTTGTTCACTAACACCGGGTTTTAAGGTTCATCTCTGTTGATATGAGTAGCAGTATTCAATCATTTTCCCTGTTGATGGACATTTGTATTTCTCTGGTTATTAATAAGGTTGAGTATCTTCTTAGATATTTCTGACCACTTTTGTTTTCTGTGAAATGCCTGCCCCATGTCTTTTGCTCATTTTTTAAAAAATATATTTTCATTGATTTCAGAAAGGAAGGGAGAGGGAGAGAGAGAGAGAAACATCAATGATGAGAGGGAATCATTGATTGGCTGCCTCCTGCACGTTGGACCGAGCCAGCAACCCAGGCATGTGCCCTTGACCGGAATCGAACCTGGGACCCTTCAGTCCGCAGGCTGATGCTCTATCCACTGAGCCAAACCGGCTAGGGCTGTTGCTCATCTTTCATATCCTGAATATGAATGCTTTTCTCCTGTTATTATGTTGTTGCTAATATCATCTCACAGGGTATGGTTTGTCATTTTAGTTTCTTCATGATGTCTTTTGATGAATGGAAATTCTTCATTTTTATGGAAGTGCATTTATCAATCTTCTCCTTGATGGCTTTCTCTTTGGGATATTTTAAGAAATTCTTCCCTATCCTGTAGTCCTAAAGATATTCTTCTATCAGACATTTTATAATTTTGCCTTAAACAATGAAATCTTTAGTCTGCATAGTCAAGCCCAGTTTGTGAGCGTGCGTCTGTGTGAGCCTCTTTAAAAACCAGTCACTTTAGCGCACTCTGATCTTGAGGTGGCTAGAGCTTCCCAATCAGGGTGTCCTGTCTGCGTTACAGATATACTCATAGCTTAGAGACTCCAGATCAGTCCTTCCGGCCCTTTATTTCTCTCAATGAGCTGCTCAAGTATTTGAATGTCTTGGGGGTCATGGCATTGAAAAAGTTGCGAGGCAGCCTGGCCAGCATTGCTCAGTGGTTGAGCATCAACCTACAAACCAGGTCTCTTCCTGGTCAGGGCACATGCCCAGGTTGTGGGCTCAATCTCCATTGCAGGGTGTGCAGGAGGCAGCCGGTCAATGATTCTCTCTTATCATTGATGTTTCTATCTCTCTCTCCCCTCCCTTCCTCTCTGAAATCAATAAAAATATTTTTTAAAAGAAAAAGTTGAGAGGCAGAGTTAGCCTTTCCTAACAGTCTTCTTTTGAAGACCAGGGTGAATGCGGATCACCTGCCCTGCTGTGGAGAGCACCCTGGCCTCGTCTACCATGATGCATAGGTGTCACAGTTAAGTTTAAGTTAAGGAGACCAGGTAGTTACTGGAGATCCCCACCTGTTGAAGGAGGAGGTAAGAAGAAGCATTAGACAGAAGAGCAATAAAGTACAGCGCAGGCCTGGCAAAGCTTCAGCCGATCGTAGTTTTCTTTGGGCTGAAATGGCCTGGAGTGGCTGGGTAGCCATACCCTGTCACCTCCAGTCTTCGGATGTTGTCACCCTGGAAAGAGCACAGCAGCTCTCTACAGCTGAGGCAAACCCTGAAGTTCTGGCGTCTGGGATGGTAAGTCTTTATTGGAAGGGCGTCTGCGTGGCCCCTCTCTGGGATCATTACAACAAGAAAGTCGGATGTTTTCTGGGTGCTGCTTGTCCACATGGCACAGGCAGCAGTAGCCTTGCTCCGACCTGAGCCAGAAATCCCATCTCTGTTCTCCTGATGTCTGAGCAGCTCTCCCCTCCAGGCAGGAAAGAGGCCCCAGGATGCTTGTTTAGAAAAGAGAGACCACCCATTTCAAGAAGAGAGGAGAGTGGAGAATAGTGATTAAGGCTTCCCCTCATCCCGGCTGTGTGAGTTCTGCACAGGTATCGGACCTCTCTGCATCTTGACCCCCTCATCTCTCAAATACAAAGCACAACAATAGTAAAGCCTCCCCCATAGGAGAGATTTGAAGATGAAATGCCATAATATATGTCAAGCAGGTAGCAAACGCCTGGCATACACTGAGCACTCAAACCGTGTTAGCTATTACTGTTCACGGGGCATCGCCCTTTAGGTTTTCTGTGCCGGAGTTATAAGGTCTGTTCGACCCGGAAAAGCAAGGTAGCCAAGTCAGCCCTGACGTCCCTCTGACTTGTAGGGAGACGTGAGACTGTCATGGGAAGGAACACGGGCAGTCTCTCAGGGGTGGGGGCCTTGGCCCATCCAGGGCGGGATTTAGGGGAGGAGCGGGGTCATGGAGCCCACACCACCTCCATAAATGGGTCTCCCCTCCTTTGATCACGGCAGCCTCAGTGATCCATATATACCCTGAACGACCCAAGGACCACAAAGGAAAGCTTAATCACAGAGCTGAAGTCTGGTTAAGTGTCACCCCCTCGAGGACATGTGGCTTCTCCAAGGATAATTTGGGTTTCTGGTTTCTCAATTGCAAATTTCCCCTGGACTCTCCCGTCTTAGGCAATCCGAGGGGATGTTGAATGCTTGCTTGCCCAGCTGTGTTTCCCGAATGCCTGGGCCCTCAGAAATTTCTTTCTCAGGGGCGCCCTGGTGTGTGTCTGTCTAGGTTGCTGCTCTTTTCCGGGAGTTCCCTGGGTGCTGGTCCCCGTGCTGGTGTGGAGCCCTTCTTGGGGGGGACTGCCTCCTTGACACCCCTCCTCTGTTTCGCTGTGGGCAGCACTCATGCCTGGTGCTGCCTTCTCCCACAAGGGACACTCATGTTTTCCCTTTACACCAGTGCTTACAACCTCCTTAAACGCCACTGGAGCCTTCTCCTCCATGGAAACCCCTTCAAGCGTTCCCCCAGGGACCAGCCACTACAGTGCTGACAGCACCCTTTGCTCAGACACGTGTGTCTTATGCTGCTGTCCCACCTGGAGTAAGTTTTGTGTCGTCTGCCCGCCCCTCCGTCCCCAGATTGGAATACAGTTTTCACTCTGTTCTTGGGGGTGAGAATCCCAGTATCCCATGAGCCCATGAGCCCAGTCTCTTTTCCCTCTAGGAGGCTGACGGGACCTTATGGAAACAGGTGACATGCTCGGATGGTCCAAGTGTGGACATCCTAGCAAGGCTGCTAACCAGTCCCCATCCAGAGGCCAGCGCTAGCAGAATGTAGTTTGTTTGCTGCAGCCGGGAGCAAACGGCCCCCTTCCCATAGAGTTGCATGTTGGTTTGAAAAACTCATTGATTGATTGATTGATTCATTAGTTCATTCTTTTATTTAATAAATGTTTACTGGGTACCTGCCATTTGCCAGTAACATTTCTTAAGACTGGGAATTCTAGATGTCACTCATTTCTGGATAATGAAGACCATTATAAACTTATGAACAAAAATAGATACAGAGGCAGAGCTGCCTCGAACAGACTGTCAAACTACAGCAGGAAGGCCAGGGAGGGTGGGAGGGCAGGAGGGGGGTGGGTAAGAGATCAACCAAAGGACTTGTATGCATGCATATAAGCATAACCAATGGACACAAGACACTGGGGGGTAGGGGAGGCCAGGGGATTGTCATGGGCGGGGGGGAAAAAAAGGAGACATGTGTAATACTTTTTGTAATACTTTAAGCAATAAAAAAAATATATATATATAAAAGACTGGGAATTCTAAAACAAACAAAATATACAGGCTCTTCTGTTACAGAATGTACATTCTAATGAAGGCGATAGATAATAAACAGATATGTGATATGTCAGGGAGAAGTTCTGCGAAGAGAAATCAAGCCAGGCGGGTGGCTAGAGCGTGGCCGTGCTATTTTAGACATGATCTTCGGGGAAGAACAAAAGAGGTGACAGTGTGCAGAGACGAACGTGGGACAAGAGAGTGAGCCATGCAGGTTTTTGAGGGAAGAACATTCTGAGCGAGAGAAAAGGCCAAGGGTAGAAGCTGCTCGGCATTTTCCAGGAAAAGCAAAGGGGCCAGAGTGGCTGGAGCAGAATGAGGAAGAGGAAGGGAGAGAGGAGACCAAAGCTGTAGCCAGGCCAACTCGTGGCTTGAGAGACAGTAGGGCTCTGACTTCGACTCCAGTGCAATTTCTGCAAAGTATATTGGGAAGCCAGTGGGAGGTTCTGGTCAGGGAACTAACATGCTATGACTTACCTTTTTTTAAAAAAAAAAAAATTTTGTTTTATTGCTTAAATTATTACAAAGAGTATTACATATGTCTCCTTTTTTTCCCCCCTTGACCTTCCCCCGGCCTCCCCTACCCCCCAGTGTCTTGTGTCCATTGGTTATGCTTATATGCATGCATACAAGTCCTTCGGTTGATCTCTTACCCCCCACAACCCTCCCAACTTATGACTTACCATTTTAATGGATCCCTCTGTTGATACAGAACACGTAGTGATAGGCTAAGATTGGAAGCAGGGAAGCCAGGGCTATTAGAACAGTGCGGGTGACATGATGCTGTGATGGTCTGGCCTGGACAGGTGCTTCTGGGCATGGGGGGATTTTGCCCCCTCCCCCTGTTCCATCCACCCCCGGGAACATTTGTCTGGGGACATTTTCGATGGTCCCAGCTGGGGTTGGTGCTGGCACCTAGTGGTAGAGGACGGAGATGCAGCTAAACATCGCACAAGGCACGAGACAACCTCTGCAAAGAGTTACCTGGCCCAATGCGAGCAGCGCTGAGGTTAAACTCTGGTCTGGAATGGCTCTGGGGGACGGGGTGAGGTGGGCTCAGATTGGAGAGCTGTTTTGAAAGGAGAGCCAACAAGAATTAAGGACAGATTCAATGTGAGGCATCCGGGTTGATGGTGCCTGAGCATCAGTTCGGAGCTGGTAACTGCAGGTGATGGTACCATTTCCCTGTGCAGTCAGCTGGGGACTTGCAGGGATGGAGGAATTTGATTTGGGCACAGGAAGTTGGATGGAGGGGCCTAAGACAAACTGGCAAACGTTTTCTGTAAAGAGTTAGGTGCTAAATACTCTTTACTTGTTGGCCACATGGTTTCTGACAGAACTATGTAACTCTACCATGTGAGCATGAAAGCAGCCACAGCCAATAGGCAGACAAAATATGTATTTCAAGAAAGCTTTATTTCTGGACACTGTCCATGCCCAGTGGGATATTCCCCAAGGACAGAAAGAGCTTTAAAATAATCTTAGACTGTTTTCAATGATGATACAGTTGGTGGTAGTGCGGTGTTGTCATACTGAGACTTGTGTGTGGACTGTGAAGTAAAGCAAATGAGTTGTTAAGTTGGAGTGCTAGCAAACGGGATTGGTAGCATAGAAAAAAGAAGATAAGGGTAGAAAAATCAAAGAATTTCAGTAAAAACCTGTAGTTTTGAATTAGAAGCACCAACAAGAATTCATGATACATTTTTCTCTGGAAATAAAGTTTTCCTGAGGTCTGTCCTCTGAGAAAACTTACAGTGGGCACCGTAGCTCCCAAACTTTGGGTGCTGAATACCATTACTCAATAAAAGCAGCCAGGGCTCCTTGGAGAAATGGCTGAGCCCAGATCTGGGGCAGGAAGTATATAAGGTCATTGACACATCTTCCCATGTCAGAAAGCAAAGATCTCAGAGGACGCAGGGCCAACTGAAGAAGGCTCAGTAAGAATAACTGCAATGAATTGAAACACATCAAATATACCTTTATCAGTATATGTTCCTAACATACAAAATAAATAAATAAAAATCCCTCTTTGACGAAGTTAGAAAGATATTGGAGAGGCAGTCTGTATTTTTAAGCTGGTAAATAAAGGAACAGAATCAAGCTCCTAGCCTGTCTTCTCTGGCCAAACGGTACTGTAGGGTAACCAAATAGTTAATGGTGGTGTAGCTCTTCTCCCACGACAGCATTTCAGGTAGAAAATATCACCATTTTACAGGCCCTCCTGGGCCGATGGGTCTCAGCAGCGACCATTGGTGCCTGCGCCCAAAGAGAAACAGCCAGACGCTGGCACCTCTTATTGGAAGTACGCACTCATCCCTAAGAATTCTTGTTTCAAGCCTGAATCTGATTAAGCCTCAGCATTCAGTTACCAATTTCTAGGAAAAACCGGGACCAAATAACATGTTAAAAATGAACCATGGGGATTCGGTCAGCAACTTCTAGGCTGTGGGGAACTCTACAAGCCAAATTAAATTGGGAGGGGGGGAAAATTTTGAATTACCAAGAAAAAATAGAGACGCACAGCCTCTATTAAGAGATTAAGAGAGACTTAGAGCTCTACCAACCAACTGCAATGGGTGGGATTTATTTGGACTCTAATTCAAATAAACTAGAAAGTGAGAAAGAGAAAGGGGGGAGAGGGGGAAATATGACCAAAGAGCAAATGTGAACCTTAACTAGATATTTGACTGTGTTAAAGGGCGACTTTAAGTTCTTATAGGTATAATAGTGGGTGGTGGCTATGCCTCTTTAAAAGAACTCTTGTCTCTGGTGATGCATACTGAAATATTCACAGGATGAAAAGATATCATGTCTGCGGTTTGCTTCTGAGGAGAGAATGGGGGCGGGGGTGCAGGTGAAGTAAGAGGTGATCATTGTTGGAGCTGGGAGGTGGTGCATGGGTTCGCTGCATTATTCTCCCTACTTTTATTTACATTTGAAATTTCTAAAACGAGAATGTTTTTTGTAAAAGTGCATTTATTAAGGCAGCCTGCTATAAGGGTAGACTGAGGCTCTCTAGAAGGTGAGGTCTGGGTATATTTTTAAAATTGAATTTATTGAGGTAGCATTGATTATTAACATGACATAAATTTCAGGTGTACACAATATAGTTTGATATCTGTGGACTCTACTGCATGCTCACCACCCAAAGTCCTTTCCTTCCATTACCGTATATTTGACCCCTTTACCAATTCAAGAACTTTTTTAAGCAGGTTAATTTTTCCACCCTGGCTCAGTTTTTTCACCTTTGTAATTCCCTCCTTCCTATTTTGGGAGCTGAATCATCACGGCACCTAGCACATCCACCTACTGAAACCTATTCATTTCCAAAGCTGATTGGTTTTTTATTTGAAAGTTGTGCTGCTCTTGTCGGTTCCTGAGGTTGCTAAGAAGTGCTGACTGCTTGCTCTTTAGGCTCTGGGATCTCCAGCTATGGGAAAAACCCCCAAGACGCCCCCAAAGCCTTCGAGGATTGCATGCAAAAAGTCAAGGAGCAGATTCCAGCCCACCTGCAGGGATCCACGCACATTTACCTGGGCGCCACGGCTGGGATGCGCTTGCTGAGGTAAGGGCAGGACGGGCACAGAGCAGCCCATGTGACCAAAATAGCCAAGAATGCGTTGGACTTTGCCAAGAACGTAGATCTATTTCTGGGAACAAATCCCAAAGACTGAAGCCCATTTTCTGCCATAAATGTAGACTTTAAAAAGTTGGGAAACTTTTCGTCTTTATTTTAATACCCAGAAAAAAACAGTTCTGAAATCGATTCCCTTGCCCTTGGCAATTCTAATGAGAACTCTGAGAAAGGGGAAGGTGACATGAAACCTGTTCACGGGGTTAACTCTAGTTTTTAGAAAAGTAGAAACTTTGTTGTTGTTGTTGTTGTTTAATATATTTTTTAATTGATTTCAGAGAGGCAGGGAGAGGGAAAGATAGCAACATCAATGATGAGAGAGAATCATTGGTCGGCTGCCTCCTGCACGCCCCTTACTGGGGATCGAGCCTGTAACCCGGGCATGTGCCCTGACCAGGAATTGAACGCTGACCTCCTGGTTCATAGGGCAATGCTCAACCACCGAGCCACACCAGCTGGGCAAAAAGTAGAAACTGTTTTTGACACCTGGTATGTTGACACCTGAGCACAACCAGCTCCACTGGGGGCCACCCATAGCTATGGAGCTTGTACCCATGTACAAAACGACACTGAAATCTACTTCAAAGTCACGAAATGTCTGCACCTCCCCTCACCCCATCAAAGCCTTTGGAGTTATTGTGAAACAAACATCTCATTTCATCCAACTAAGCAGTTCCTTCTAGTTTTGCAGCCATGCCTTAGCCCAGTTGCATTGTTTCTGAAGGCCATTTATCTCCATTTCTTCATTATAGTATTTCATTGGCCTTGAAATAAAAGAAAAAAATAGTTTTAAAAAACAACATCGAACTCAAATCTCTCTAGGGTAGAAGCTGCTCCAAACTTTGAAAATCAGGCTTTATCCCCAAAAGATGACACTCATTCTCCTCCCAAGCCCCCTTGTCTGTGATCCCAGTAATGTCAGATCGCGTGTGGGCATGAAGGAAACACAAAGGAACAAGCAAACAGGGCCTCTTCAACATCACCATCCAAAAAAATCTTAGTTGGATTGGGCCTTTTTCTGGCCGTTTTCCTACCCTTGTTCCTATTCCTGTGTCCTGGTTGACCAAGAAGAATGTGGAATTTCTTAGAATCTGCCGTGTTTTGAAGTCATTGAATTTACCTGAAATAGAAATGATACAGAAATCCCTTCCTTCTGCCTTTTCTTCCACATGGAAACAAAGAACCCAACTTTTACTTCGCTGCTTCCCCCCTTCCCAGTCCTCTGAGTGAGAAATAACTACAAGGCTCTGTGATTGATAGCCCATGACCAGCACCGTGGGGTAGAAAGGTCAACGCTTGGGGAAAAAAGTGAATGAATGTTCCATTGGAATGCATTAAATATTAACTCCTCCTTGTGAAACTTTCTGACGGCGAGCCATGTCTTCGGAGCAACTAGCTGACATTTTAATTGCTAGAAAAGGCAAAAAAAAATTTTTTTAATATATTTTTATTGATTTTTTACAGAGAGGAAGGGAGAGAGATAGAGAGTTAGAAACATCGATGAGAGAGAAACATCGACCAGCTGCCTCCTGCACACTCCCTACTGGGGATGTGCCCGCAACCAAGGTATATGCCCTTGACCGGAATCGAACCTGGAATCGAACCTGGGACCCTTCAGTCCACAGGCCGATGCTCTATCCACCGAGCTAAACCAGTTTTGGAGGAAAAGGCAAAATTTTTAAAAATTAATGGGAATCGTCCTGGATGAGAACAGATGAAACTAGGGGAACTGAATTCTTTTCCAAGCATCGACCGCTTGCTGCGGCTCGCACTGCTCTTTCTCCGGGAGCCCAGAGTGAGCCCGTGGCCCTGGCTTCCTTAACACAGGGACGGGAGGGAAGGTAATGCCCCGGAGAGTGAAATGGCAGCGGGTGAACGGCCTGATCACACCGTGTCCTGGGTGACATGAAACTACCATGTTGCCACCCCTCCGAGGGCAGCACACGAATGGATTCCACCCAGTGACGCCCCCGAGCGGCCTCATACCCCCCCTGGTGAAGCTGGAGAGTCAACCCTCTTCCTTCCCGCCCCCTCCTGAGCTCCCCTTCCTTCTGGCTTGATGAGGGCTCCTTTTTATGGTGCCCCCAAGAGATGACTTATACCATTTCTGTCCCCACCCCCGTCTCCCCCCCCCCCCCTCCAGTCTCCTTTCCTCTGCTGACCTGAGTCAGATGAAGCACAAGGCTCTTCGGACGAGCGGGTGGCTGGAGGGAGGGGCAGGAACAGGTAGGGGAGGCGAGAACTAGTGGTGCTTTTCCTGGAATCTGCTGGCAGGTTGGCAGGTACCAAGTGCCCCCTGCCGTCCCTTCCTGTCCCCCAGGAAGCCTTGGCTTGCAGGAGGGGTTGCCTGTGTCGCACACATCTGGGAAATGGTCCCTGTCTACAGCGGGCGGGCGGGTGGGGAGGTTTCACCTGTTCACCTGGCGGAGGGTATTTTAAGGCTCTGTTGTCCGGGCACTCAGCCTTGTGTGTTCTGTGCCTTGCATAGGTTGCAAAATGAAACAGCAGCTAATGAAGTCCTTGCAAGCATCCAAAACTACTTCAAGTCCCAGCCCTTTGATTTTAGGGGTGCTCAAATCATTTCTGGGCAAGAGGAAGGGATATATGGATGGATTACAGCCAACTATTTAATGGGAAATTTCCTGGAGGTGTGTGAAAACAAATGCATGGTTTCTAATCTTGCCATTGACCCCTTCCCCTGTGGGTGGTAGCTTCAGCAGAGGTGCATGCCAACAGGGCATCTGTCCCGGGTCATTCCTATTGTGTGACGCATCAGGGAAACACAGGGGACAATAGGTAAGAAAAGACACGCTAGCTGGTGCAAAACCTTGGCTCATAAGCAGGACCAAATGCCCGGGGGAGAGGGAATAGCATCCCTTTACGAGCAAATAAGACATTGGGGAGGGGTGAGACTCTAACACTGGGCTATGGGTAATAGGAAGGGCAGCTGGAGAATGACTCCTCTAAGCTGGCCCATAGCCCTCTGGAATTTACAGAGCCTTGGGGCGGCCCGCTCCCCAGGTCCCCGTGTCCCCAGGTCTCCGTGACACGCCAGTCTCCACACGCCCTTCTTCTCTGGTGCAGAGGAAGGCTGACTCCAAGAGACAATCACCGTGTTACAGAGATCATATCCAGCCCCACACCTATGCTGTTCCTCCTCAAATATATTTTTTAAATCTTTAGTTCACTGCCAACAGTTAATATTTTGAAAAGTTCACATAAAAATTCATAGCTTCTCCTGACCCCCCCCCCCCCCCCCCCCCCCCCCCCCCGCTGGACGTGCTGGTCACAGTGGACTCACATTCCTGCATGCAACAACCAACCGGGACAGCGTGTAACACGCACTCCCCAGGCTGCCAGAGTCCCCACCATTCCCTGTTGTCTACACCTAACCTACTTTGCTCATTTCTGCTGCCTGCCCAGCTCCTGTAAGCATTTGAGTTCACCACCCCTGACATAAAGGAGAGGTTTGGCCCTGAATGCTTCCCCATATGTCCTAGTTCTTAGCAGTCAGAGACGGGTCTTAGGTGGAGAGCCCTGGGCAAACAGAAATGGCGTCTCCGGCCTGTTCTCATGCCTTCTTCTCCCGCGGCGCAGAAGGACCTGTGGCACATGTGGGTGCATCCAAATGGCGTGGAGACCACAGGTGCCCTGGACTTAGGCGGCGCCTCCACCCAGATATCCTTCGCGGTGGGAGAGAAGGTGGAGCTGAACACCAGTGACATCATAAAGGTGTCCCTGTACGGCTACGTGTACACACTCTACACGCGCAGCTTCCAGTGCTACGGGCGAAACGAGGCCGAGAAGAGGTTTCTGGCCATGCTCCTTCAGGTACCCGAGTGGGGGCGGGGAGCAGGCGTTTCCTGGGGGGGGGGGGTCTCAGCTGAGGGATGGGCACCTTGCCTTCCGGGGTCCGTCCTTTCAGCTCCAGTTAGAAGGTGGGTGACGTCAACAGCATTTTCCGGTTTACTTGTGGGGGTCCGAGCGCGCACACTCTCTCTCTCTCTCTCTCTCTGTTGTGTTGACCACTTCCAGTGTATTTGAGTCAGAATTCCAAGGAAATTCCAGAGCTCCCCACATTTTATAAATGATTCAAGTCCCGGGATCCCTTTATGGCAGGGGTGGGGAACGTCCGGCCCACAGGGCTATATAAGGCCTTGGAATTCATTTGGTCTGGCCCTGCCAAGGCATTAAGTCTCAGCCAACGTGCCTCTTCCCAGGAGAAAAACCCTGGAAAATCCTCTTTTCTCAACCTCCTGTTATTTCAGGCAAAGCTTAATGCTCCCTCCTCCAGCTCCGGCTCCTGCCCTGGCAGGGGGAAGGGGAGGGTGGGGGGGAGGGCTCCTCGGAACTCCACAGAAGCGGGCAGGTGAAACCCTCCTCCCAGGGTGAGTAGGGGTCCGGGACTCTAACCTTTTAAAGTCAGCTGGCCCTGAGTATACTCACCTGTCTGAGGTCTCATTTGCATATGAAAACACAAGTTTCCAGGTCTGAGTCCAGGACTGGGGGCAGAGGTGTGAGATCCCAGCCTCTGCCGTGGACAGTCATCTCACAGGGCCCAGCCATCTCTCCAACTTGCCTGGTAACCTCTGGGTGCTGAGAGGGTGGCTCTGGCCTGAGCCTTCTGACTCAGGTGAGGGAAAGGATCCAGGTGTGATGAGGATCACCCACAAATGCGTGCCCAGACCTGCCTGACCAGCACTTTCATGCGCCAAGTACATGCTAGCGAGCCTGACTGAGAAGGTTCACGCAGATGATTACATCATGATCACTGGCTGAATCTGCGTCTCATTTCCTCTTCTGTACCATAAGGGCCTGCACAGTGTGGTGAGGACACCTGGGTAGATACTTGGCAGTCATTCTCTTATTAACCAGTCCCCAGCCACCCCCGGCTCAGGTCTCACTCTGAAAACTTGTTAGACATTAGGGACTCTCCCTCCCTCCCTCCCTCCCTCCCTCCCTCCCTCCCTCCCTCCCTCCCTCCCTCCCTTCCTTCCTTCCTTCCTTCCTTCCTTCCTTCCTTCCTTCTTCCCTCCCTCCCTCCCTCCCTCCCTCCCTCACAGATCTTTTTCTTCCATCAGCTGCCTCCTGCACACCTCCTACTGGGGATGTGCCCACCACCAAGGTACATGCCCTTGACCGAAATCGAACCTGGGACCTTTCAGTCCACAGGCTGACGCTCTATCCACTGAGCCAAACCGGTTAGGGCCAAAGATGGATTTTTAAGTAAGAAAAGGAAGGAGCAGAATAGTGTGTAGGGTACTACCATTTATGGTTTTTGTAAAAGAAAGAGGGAAGAAAAGAAAATGTATTCACATATGCACCCAAGAAGTACAGACGAAATCTCTGGTAGAATACACAAAAACTGGCCATAGAGGTCACTTCCAGGGAGGGGGTCAGGTGGGGGGCACTGAGGGGGACGGAAGCTAAATTCTCATAATTCATGTATTTGTCCCTTTGGGATTATTTTATTAGGTGGATAGATAATACTCTAGTCAAAATGGTTGATTAACCTAGCCTATCTTGTTTTCTCACCAAAATGAAGTTCATAAATCCTGCCTCACAGGCCTGCCGTAAGGGCTGGATCTGGTCATGTGAGCGAGAGCCTAGCATTGCACCTGGTACAGGTAACTGTCCCCCCACTGCCACTTGAGTTATCTAGACAACCTGGGAGTTGCCTTCAAGTACCCACCGACACAGAATGGCGTTTTTCCCATTTCCCTCCTGGCATTAGCGTGTAGCGATAATAAGAGTTGGCAAAAGGGAAGTACTTTGTCCTCAGCCAAAGAGTGCTTTCTAATAGGCCACTCGTGTGCCTACAGAATTCCACCACCAGCACCAGCGTCACCAACCCCTGCTACCCTCGGAATTACTCCACCACCTTCACCGCGGGCCACCTCTTTGGCAGCCTGTGCACGGAGGAGCTGCGGCCTGGAGGTTACGACCCCGATGACACCATCACGTTTGAAGGAACCGGGGACCCATTACTCTGTCGGGTGAAGGTGGCTTCCCTCTTTGCCTTCAGAGCTTGCCACGACCGAGAGATCTGCTGCTTCGACGGGGTTTATCAGCCGGGCGTTAAAGGATCTTTTGTGGTGAGAGCAGAAACCACGGAGAGATTCCTGGTTTTTTCCCATTGCATATTTATTCTGACCTTTCCGTTTCTCTGCTGCTGACCTGTCTCCTGCTTTTACGACCTGCCCTCACACCTCCATGGTCTGTCCCATTCTGAGGCACGCTGTCCTGTTCCGCTTCCTCCCAGGCCTTTGCGGGATTCTTCTACACAGCCAACGCGTTAAACCTCTCGGGCAGCTTTTCCCTGGACGCCTTCAACTCCAGCACCTGGGATTTCTGCTCACAGGACTGGAGCCAGGTCAGTGTGTAAGGAGAAAGGGGCGACAGCGCCACCCACAGCAGAGCAGGGGTATCCCATCGTGCGCAGGAGTGCATGTGTTCTGAATTTCGCCCTACGCTGTTCTGCTTTTAACCCCCAAAAGGGGCTATCGGGGAGCCGTTCCTGCGTCATGAACTAATGTCCTGACCACAGGCGCCGTGGTGAGAACCGTGTTGGGCACATGATAAGCACCCCGTACGCTTAGAGATTGTTCTTACGTGATGATGTTCTAGGGATATTTTTAATATTATATCATTGCATTCCTTAATGCAGGAGGCAGCCGATGGATGGTTCTTTCTCATTGATGTTTCTCTCTCTCCCTTCCTCTCTCTCTCTCAAATCAATTTTTAAAAAACACTAAAATTAAAAAAATTTTTTTTAAATAAATATGAAACGCTGGGTGATACAATTTTTTCCGCTAGTCCTTTGGTCCTAACGTGTTCCAAAATGTGCATTTTAAAACCTGCCTGCCCGCCTTCCCCTCCCTGCTTTGACCTTCTCAGCTCCCGCTGCTGCTGCCCCGGTTCGATGAGGTGTACGCCCGCTCCTACTGCTTCTCGGCCCACTATATCTACCACTTGCTCGTGAGTGGGTACAAATTCACCGAGGACACCTGGCCCCAGATACATTTTAAAAAAGAGGTAAGTCAGAGCACAAGTCCTTTCCTCCTCTTCCTCTCAAAACAGAGAGGGTTGCGCGTACGTGCGTGAAAGGAGAGCCTTGACCCCCAGGGACCTCCCCGGAGGGATGAGGGAGAACTGGGAAGCCAGCTCACCGCAGACCCTTCCCCTTGAGCAGAGCCTTGGAAGCAAGGACCCGTGGGCTCTGAGCTCCTCCAGGGCAGGACTTGTGTTATCCTCACATTCCCAGCATTCAGTTCAGCACATGGGCGAGAACCTGGAAGATGCTTAGTAAATGTTTGTTGAGTGAATGAATAAATATGTTAAGGATTTCATCCTAACATATTTTCATTCTAAAAAGAAGCCTCAAATAGAACAGTTTGTTTTTTTTTAAAAAAAAAAGAGGATGGTTTTTAAAACAAAGCCCTGGCTGGTGTTGCTCAGTTGGTGGAGCACCATCCCATGTACTGAGAGGTCACTGGTTCTAGTCCTGGTCAGGCACAGGCCCTGGTTATGGGCTCAATCCCCAATAGGGGTCATGCAAGAGGCAGCCAATTGATGATTCTCTTATCAATGTTTCTCTCTCCCTCTCCCTTCCCCTCTCTCTTTAAAATCAATTTAAAATTTTTTTTCAAAAGAGGGTAGTAACTAATCGCTCTCCATTTACGCAGATGTCAGAGTAAGATGCAGGCTTTAGAGCTTGAGGGGTTAAATAGAATCTTCTCTCGGAATGAGCCTCAGGCACTGTGTTTACTGTCAAGAGTCCAGCATGGGCCAAAGCTGGAACCCCAGCTGCTCCCCGGTGACTGTGCGGTGACGGGGCCTCGGACCTTGCTTTCGGGCAGCGGCAGCCTTGCTGACATGCCCATCCAGCACTATGTTCCCGGGTTCTGGGAGGCTTCTCTGGGTTCAGGAAGAGCTGGTGTAAAGCCTGAAGTATATCTGGAGTCAGTCTGTTCGGTATGAGCTTTGGCTAATTAGATGAAACCAATCAACATCTGGCATTAGGCCTGTGACTGGCTATTTTTACATCAATGAAATTGAATCATCTACAAGAAATAAGGATGTCTGGGAACATGTAAGGATTGTTGTGGGCATGTCCTCTCCCGGCTTGGCTTCATGATCTAATTATCAGGAAAGTACATGATGAGAATGGAGAAGGACTTCCCACTGAGCACCCGCTTGGATGCACACAGAATTCTAGGTGTCAAGTTCCTTTCCTTTATTCATAAAGAATCTTCTATCCAGCCAAATTAGTATCCGAATGTGAGGGCCTAAAAAGACTGCAGAAGATTGGCCGCACAAAGACTGAACATCAAAACTATATTTGGAGGAAGTAATGAAATAAGACTAGAAATAAATCCAGATGTTATAAAAATATGTGAAGTAAGAATAAATAGTGTTGTGGCTTAAAATGTATGTTTTTTTAAAAATACTAACACCAGATAAAAAAGGAAAAGAGAAGAATTCATCCATACACCAGAGCAACCCAGAATTCAAGTATAGCTAATATTCAGTGTGATGGGGATGGGGTCAGGGGGGTCATAGGATACAGGAACGTATGAGTGGCCTAAAATGCTAATTTTTTAAAGGGAACATGCACACACACAATTTATAAGGCAAGAAAGGAAAAAAATAAATATAGGAAAAAAGCACCAATTGAAATTTTTAAAGTAAGGTATTAGAAGTACAAATATATCAACGATTACAATAATCCATAAATGGACCAAACCTACCAGTTAAAAGACAGACCTTGTCAGACCTGATTTTTAAAAATCAAATATATGTAATTTATAAGAGAAACACTTAGGCTTCACACATCAGGATTTGGAAAGATTGAAAGTTAAAAAAAAAAAGAAAAAGATTTTCTTTTAAACTGTCAGGCAAACATCACCCAGAAGAAAAACTGCTGTAGCTATTTAATATCTGAAAACAATAGTCTTTAAGATAAAGAGCATCATTCACAATAGAGAGGATTATAACAGAATGACAAAAAGTTCAATTCATCATGAAGATTGCAAATTCGAAATATTTATCCATCTAATAAAACAACCTAAAAATGTGCAAACCAAAAATCGATTGAATTTACCAGAACAAACTGACAAAACCCTGTTTCTTAGAAAGTGGCCCTCGGCTTAGCGAACACACACTACCTTCCTTCTTTAGCCGCAGACACTGTACAGCCGGCAGCAGACAATGGTTCACTGTCATCAACTCTGCCTCTTCCCACTTGGCCGTGGCGAGGTTGTGGGGACTCGTTCTGCCTTGCCTCTGCGGTGCTGGAGTTAGGGCCCTCGAGCCTTTGGGGGTCCCAGTGACTTGGATTGTCGCCCAGCCTCTGCAGTGTCTGAACTTGGGCAAGTCCTTTGACCTCTTTTCCAGTGGGTGTTTCCTGCTGGTGGCAGTGGTGTGCCCCGGGTATGGCATTCCCACGTCAGCCCCTGTCCTGAGAACTCAACCATCTCCTCTACTTCACAGGTGGACAATAGCAGCATAGCCTGGTCTCTTGGCTACATGCTCACGCTGACCAACCAGATCCCAGCCGAAATCCCCCTGATCCGCCTGCCCATGAAGCCACCTACCTTTATGAGCGTCCTCGCCTTCTTCACGGGAGTGGCCTTGCTGTGCCTGGCATTCCTGGTGTACCTGTATGCGTTGTCTAGGAACCAGAGGCGCTCCCAGCATGCCTTGGACCATGCGGTGGATTCCGAGTGAGCAGCTGCAGGAGCTCGAGGGCTGCCCAGGTCCAGCCTGGGTGACACCAGACAATGCGAGTGAAATGCCCATCTGCGGGAAACACGACCGCAGTCAAATATTTAGGTTGTGCGCCCCCCAGATACGATGTATGCCAAAGCACCTCTTGGGGAGCCCCTCAACTGTTCCTTGCACACTGCTCCTCAGAGACCCCACCACCCACTGCTGACCCCCTGGGGAACAGGAGAGACAGGCCCTCAAGGCCGGCTCTTTATTCCAGGGCCCCAGAGGAAGAGGAAGCAGAGATTATGACAGTTCCATGTTGAAGAATTGACCTCAGGGCACATTCTGCATCCTGTCCTCCCTTAGAAAGGCCGTATTCCTCCTGGCAGATGCCCACTAAGCATTTGACCCGATCAGCTATCTCATCGTATGGCTTCCGCCCACTGGTCCTTAACTGAGGCTGTCCTTTAGCAATCCCATACACATTGAGCTGCCTCAGGTTGGTAGAATACAGTATCTGGGGGAGAAGACGGCTTTACGCCCAAGGACAGTGGCCGCAGCCAGCTTCTGTCGTGCAGCCAGAACCTGAAGGATGGACGCACAGCAAGTCTCCCAGAAAACAGCTGGCCATTCCTCAAGTGGGATTCCCTCCCGCTCAGGGCTCTGATCATTAGATCGCAGCCGGTGTCTGTGTCATTATCCTCACCTCCCCTTCACGTTCTCCTGTCATCCTATGAAACATTTCCTCCTAGCGAGGGCATTGTGTTCCAGATCTTTCTGCCTTGGCGAGGCTTTTGTTTCGGGCCATCTTTCCAGAAACTGTTAGCGTGGCGTGCACCTTCTGTCCACCAGCCCGCAGGTATGCTTGATGCTGCCACAAGACGTCCTATTCTACGATTGGCTTACCAGTTCCTTCCCTGGGCGGCAGACCTCCCTGCGTAGCGGCCATAGTTCCTGACTTTGGAGAAAGAAGAGGAAGCTGCAGGGACTTTGACTCCTAAGTGGGATGGGGAGAACTCCGGCATGTCCGATGGCTACAGGCTAAAAGTCAGCATGATTGCAGATGGTCGTTTGGTAGCTCAATGTGGAATAAAGGACTCGGATTTTGTTTTGACTTGCAGGGTGTGTGTTTGTTACCTTGCACATGGTACTCCTTCTCCCAAGGTCCCAAGGCAGTACTGATGAGAAGTTTTAAAAATTGAGAACATTTTCTTAAGAAGACTTGCCTAGTGAATTAAGAAAATGATGCATTAATATCACTTTTATTTCAGAGAGTTCAAAGGACTTCCCTTTGGTAAACCTTTGGCTCCTTGAGATACTAGTAGTTGTAGTGAACATTTCTGTACCTTATTTGACAGTCAAAGCTTCTGTGAGGCCACAGCCTGCCATTTAGATATTCCCCCCCCCCCCCCCCCCCCCCCCCCCCCCCCCCGCCGTTTAGATCTTGATTCCCACCCAGAATGGCTGCTCCATCCCAAAATACACCTTTGCTCACAGAGTTCTCCCTACCTAGACTGGGTCATCCTCGAATCCATGCAAATAATGCATATTTCTCAAGGCATAATTTTAGCTCTACTTCTTTCACAAAGCTTTCCTTACACACACTATGGCCTGTCTCCTGGATCACCTTTTCAAAACTAATTACATCATAAATTCTTATATCATTATTCGTCTTTGTGTGTGCATATGGCTTGTTTCTAATATAGACAGAAGGTACCCTGGCCAATTTGGCTCAGTGGATACAGTGTGGGCCCGAGGACTGAAGGGTTTTGAGATTTTGAGATCTTGAATAAGGAAAGGGATTCTTAACACACACACAAAAGGCCTTAACCATGATAATATGTGTGAAAACAAAAGAACTGCAAATATGTTCAATATGGATGGATCTTACAAACATAGGGCAAAAAGCAAGTGTAATTCCATTTATGTAAAGCTCCAAAACTGGCAAAACTAAACACAGAAGATCAACTCTAAAGAAAAGCAAGAAAATCATTGCTCTTAAATTTGGGGCGGGGGTGGGGGGGTGGGGTGGGAAACAGAGATTGTGTCTGGAAAGGAATAAACAGATGTCTTAGTCTGCTAGGGCTGCCATAACAATGGATGGCTTAAACAACAGAAATCTAATTTCTCACAGTTCTGGAAGCTGGGAAGCCGAAGATCAAGGTGCCAGCTGATTCAGTTCCTGGCTTGTGGGCAGCTGCCTTCTCACGGAGTCCTCACAGGGCCTTGTCTCTGTGCTTGTGCAGAAAGAGATGGTGAGCTCTCTGGTGTCCCTTTCTATAAGGATACTAATCCCATCATGATAGTAGGCACCCCCTCATGACCTCATCTAACCCCAATCACCTCCCAAAAGTCCCATATCCAAATACCATCCCATTGGGGGTTGGGACTTCTAACATATGAATATCGGGGGCACACAAAAATCCAGTCTATAGTAACAGAACTTTTGGGGTGATGGTGATTGATATTCTATAACTACGTAGTAGTTACAGGTGTTCCCTTTTTTCAACCATGCATGTACTTTCTGTATGTCCTATATGACATTTAAAAGATTATAGGTCTGGGTTAACTCAAGAATTTGCTCTTTGCTACCTCTATGATCTTCATAAAGTCTTTCAATCTCTGGGACTAATATCTACTAGTACCTCATGGGATTGTTGAGAAAAGTAAAATGTAGCACTTAGCCAGTATCTGGCAGGGAGTATAGGCAATGAATAAGAGTTTTAAAAAGTATTTCTTTCATCCATTTACTCATTCATTCATTTATTCATTCATTCATACATTCTCCAAAAGTCTACTCTATGCTAAGTAAGGACTCCTGAAACACATGAGACACGAAGGCCCTCTGCTGGAGCCACGGAGAAAATCTTTCCCAGGTTGGGTCCTTTTTGTTTCTACCTCATTAAGGATGCTGAAAAAAATCATCAGTTCAAAAATATTTTTAATATTATAAAATACTGAGACAATCGGAAATCTGAACATTTGATATCAAGCATTCCCGCTAATTTTTGTTTACCTTCACAGCAACACCTAGAATAATGGTTAACTGAAGGTTGTAGCCTAGCCACATTGACACATAAAATTGACCATCACATCTATGAATTGATTCAGAATGATTTGTAAAGGAGGAGGTGGATGGGACAGAACTAGCCAATCCTCCCGGTGATTGGACGAGCCAGTTGGGTGTAGCCGGCCTATCAGAGTTCTGCTTACGCATGGTCTGATACTTTGGTTTCTGATGTAAGTGGCTGCTAAGGATTATCCTGCTCACTTCCCGTCACGTACACCACAAGGCGGTCGGGCCTTACTTAGAGTTACCTTGCCATTATCATACAGCAGCGGTTCTCAACCTGTGGGTCGCGACCCCTTTTCGGGGTCGAACGACCCTTTCACAGGGGTCGCCTAAGACCATCGGAAAACACATATATAATTACATATTGTTTTTGTGATTAATCACTATGCTTTAATTATGTTGAATTTGTAACAAAGAAAATACATCCTGCATATCAGATATTTACATGACAATTCATAACAGTAGCAAAATTACTGTGATGAAATAGCAATGAAAATAATTTTATGGCTCGGGGTCACCACAACATGAGGAACTGTATTAAAGGGCCGCGGCATTAGGAAGGTTGAGAACCACTGTCATGGAGAAATCCGCAAACAGCCTGGGGCTGCTTGGGAAGGGGTCTCCAGCTGCTTCTTCAAGGAGAGCTGTAGCGTGAGGAGCACATTCTAGGAAAAGGGAGGCCCAGTATATGAAAAGCCGTGAGACCTGTAGCTACTGCAGGATTGTTGTGCAGGGCCTTGAATGCCAGGCTGGGTAGTTTGGACTTGATTCTGTAGAACAGAGGATGAAAGTGAACATTTGGAGGACTTTAAATAGGGTTGACTTAATCAGATGATGAACTTTAGAAAAATAATTTTGTAACTGGAGAATCCGAAAGTGTTTGCCAAAGTGTGTTCAGTGAATCACTGGGGAGCTTTTTTTTTTTTTTTTTTTTTTTAATATATTTTTATTGTTTTCAGAGAAGAAGGGAAGGAGAGATAGAAATATCAATGAGAAAGAATAATTGATGGACCACCTCCTGCACGCCCCCTACTGGGGATGCAGCCCACAACCTGGGCATGTGCCCTCACCAGGAATCTAACCATGACCTCCTGGTTCATAGGTCGGTGCTCAACCACTGAGCCACACCTGCCAGGTGGGGGAGCTTGTTTTTTTAAATGCTGATTCTTGCCCCTCCTCAGACCAGCAAATCAGAGTCTCTGGTGTTAAAGCCAGAAAACCCCATTTTGAAAGTTGTTTTTGTGTGTGCGTTTTTAAGCTAACCTTTATTTGGGGGGAATAAATGTACCAGCCCTAAAGGTAAAGCTTTGAATTTCCACAAGCTGAACACACTCAGGTAACCAACACGCAGAGGAAACAGGCCACCAGCAGCTCAGCAGTCTCTCTTGCCCACCAGCCGCCGCTGCCTACACCGAGGGTAAACACGTTCATTTACTTCTAACAGCCAAAGATTACTTTGCTTGTTTTGAACTTCATATAATTGACATCACATGGCATACACCCTATGCGTCTGACTTATTTCACTGTTGTGTGTGAATGCGTCCATGTTCCGTGTACATGCTGCTGACTCCATTATAAAGACTTCCACGACGTATCCATTCTCTTGTTTATGGGCCTTTGGGTAGTGTCCAGTCTGGGGCTCTTACCACAACCAGACTGCAGTGAATGTTCTTATTCATGTCTTTTGCTTTGTAAA